AAGGTTGTACAACCTTGTCAACCAGGAGGGAATCCTCCCGGTACAGCAAGGTTGTACAACCTCGTCAACCAGGAGGGAATCCTCCTGGCCGGCAAGGTTGTACAACCTCGTCAACCAGGAGGGAATCCTCCTGGCTGCGAACTTATCAAAGTCCCTTGCTTCGGAGGGCCTGGTGGCCTTGGCTGGCGTGGAACGCCACTCGCGCGAAGCGCGAGCCTCCGAAGGAGGGACTTAAGACAAACACGAACAGGCCCGCGTGTCACGGTTGGGCACTTTTGGTGTAACGCACATTGAGCTGGATGTACAGCATTTACATCACCAGCTATTGGCGATTTGAGTAGACAAGCTTTTGGTGCTTGGTGATGCCTCTCACCTCATCCAATTTTCAGAACTTCATCTTGAAAATTGGATGAGGTGGATCTTTTTTAAGTTGGTCAAATTGAGAAAATGTTCTCACATGGTAGGCAGTGAGATTGAAACTGGCTTATGGAAGCTCAGCCAATTTGCCATTGGGCAAATTTTCCTTTAAAATTTTTCAACTGTGTAGTTTTCATTTTTTCCCAAAAGTTTCTTGATAGAAGTCAAGACCTCCATGTTGGGCATCTTCACTCCATCTCAGCTTTCAAGAAATCCAAAAGCTGGAGTTTCTATGATTTTTGGCGCAAAAAACAGCCAAAAAAACTCAACTGTGACACCCAGTCGTGTTCGTTTTGGGCTCAAGCCTCTCCCGCACTTCGTGCGTTCGACGGAGAGGCTGTACAAGCTCGTCCTGGCTGGCGTTTGTGTGTGTGTTTGGTAGGATTTGGATTTGCTAAATTCATATTGAAAGGAGATTCACAAGAAAAGGAACAAAATCACCAACTTGGTCGACAAACCAAAGATCTTCAAATTGAATAATCAATGTGCTAGTTGTTTTACGGCACTGGACTTACCAGTCGTTCATTTTATGTGTCAAAATTCTGATCATCAACAGTTCGTTTATAAAAGCTCTTCCTTTTCAATTGTTTTCTTGGGGGGTTATTGATTGATAACTACATTTTTTTGTTTCAAAAAAAATGAAAATGGAATGGATGCAGATGTTTAGGAGACCAAGAATTGTGTCTGAACTGTCTAACAAAGACCAAAGAAAGAAAACCAACAACAAAAAGGATTGGAGGAGGGTACAACCTCATCAACCAGGAGGCTTCCCTCCTGGTTGACCAGGTTGTACATGAGCCTTGTTGACCAGGAGGATTCCCTCCTGGCCGGCAAGGCTGTACAACCTAGTTGACCAGGAGGGAATCCTCCTTGCTGGCAAGGTGGGCCTTGTCGACCTTGTAGGACACCGGCCGGTGTCCTACAAGGATTGACAAGATTTTTTTTTCAAACAATCTAGGCTATCCCATATGACCCATGCCTGGGTCCTATGGGATAGCCCTGGTCCTAAACCCATATTAATATGGGTTTAGGACCTGCATGCCAATCTGCAAGTGGCGTGCAGATTGACGTGCATGAGGGGGGTTGGCTTGCACTTATCAACCCCCGGCCCGCAGGTACCTGGCTGATTTTCATGGAACCTGCCTCAAAGTGCTTGTGATCAAACAGCATCAATATTGTTAAATTTTTGAACCTACGACTGAAGGAATTGTGATTTTTGAGGAAAGGGCACAAAAAGGTTAAGGACCTTTTTGGGAATGGTTCACGGAAAAAGAATGAAAGAACCAATAAGTTTTATTTCTTGTAACTAGCCTGTCTTAAATAGATTAAATACAAAAGGTTAAAAATGTGGTTTGATAGAAATTGAATAAAAGAGTATTTTGAATAAAAACTGAGAGGAAGGAATGAATGAGTTCATGGAAGAAACAGCCGGACAATTCTTCTCAGTCTCTTTTAGAAAATCTAGCAAATTCATCATGAAAAAACAAGCACACAACCACAAATGAATAAGAGGCGTTAATTCTTATCAATCAGTTTTAAGGAATCAAATGATGACCAGAAAAAGAAAGAAATCAACAATAAGACATGAGTTGCTAGAAGAAAATTGTCTTGATGAGTTCTAATTAGACTACACAAGAACAGAAGATTCAAGCAGAAAACAGCTATGGTTGAATATAATTCAGTCCGGAACAAGATGATTCAAGAAAGAAAATAGGTAGAAGAAGAGAGGAAATGAGGGAGTGATTTGGGGAAGAGTAGGCAGAGCAAGTGAAAACTCAACAAATATGTAACACTTTCATATAATTGGATACCACTTGGACTTGAGTAAGAAACTCACCTGACTGCATGGCCTGGCACTGGTGAGAGTAAATATGCCAAACAGGTTTCAATGTGCTTAGAATTTAATGGCATATTTCATTTTTTGTAAAATCCAACAGTTCATTTTTAATAATGAAATTAGACCCATTTTTTCACCTAAATTTTTACAGCTTAATTTTCATTATTTTTTGACATTTTAAATTTTTTTCCTACACTTTGAGACATGTTTAAAATGATTTTAACAATAATTTTACATAAAAACCAAAGATTGTTATTGAATATTGTGTTGGACAGGTTTGTTTAACGTTTTTTTGATAGATTTTTACCGGCTTAATTTTAAGGCTTTAATAAAAAAAACTGGTTTTTCCGCATTGACAAACAGTTTTTGCTGCACGCAGCACACACGGATTCCGCTTTTGCACCCGGTTTGTTAATTAATTTTTCCCACTTATTTTTTGGTTTTTATTTTTATTTTTAAAACTGTTTCCTACACTATGAAGGGGGTTGATAAGCGCAAGCCAACCCCCCTCACGCACACCAAACTGCACGCCAGCTGCAGATTGGCGTGCGCACCTGCATGCCATTGCAGAATGGTGTGCGCAACTGCATGCCATTGCAGAATGGTGTGCGCACCTGCATGCCATTGCAGAATGGCGTGCAGACAGTCACAGGCAAGCTACTTGCCTGCAGGGGGCAATCCTCCTGGTTGGCGAGGTTGTACCGTCAACCAGGAGGGAATCCTCCTGGTTGGCGAGGTTGTACCGTCAACCAGGAGGGAATCCTCCTGGTTGGCGAGGTTGTACCGTTGACCAGGAGGGAATCCTCCTGGTTGGCAAGGTTGTACCGTTGACCAGGAGGGAATCCTCCTGGTTGGCAAGGTTGTACAGCCTCATCGACCAGGAGGGAATCCTCCTGGCCGGCGAGGTAAAGAAAAAAAATTGTTCTTATTTTTTTTTGAAAAAAAAAAGAAAATTAATGGGGCCATCCCATAGGACCCATGCCTGGGTCCTATGGGACGGCCCAGGTCCTAAACGCATGTAAATATGTGTTTAGGACCGCATAATTTGGCGTGCAGGCAGGCACGCCATTCTGCAATGGTGTGCAGGCGCGCACGCCAATCTGCAGCTGGCATACAGTTTGGCGTGCGCGAGGGGGGTTGGCTTGCGCTTATCAACCCCCCACTATGAAAGGTGTGGGACTTTATGGTAAAGTCCAATTATCATAAAAATAACTTTTATTATTTATTTATTTTTGCTCTGATCTTTTGATATACACATACTTTACAGTGGCTATCAGTCCCAGGATTCATACAAAGTTCTCTTCAAATACCTTGAAGTTATACCCTTTCTAGTAATACCACACAAAACTTGGCTTGTAATTGTTTAAATAATGGATGACATCCCGTCAACATCTGCGGGTCTCCCAGCTTTGATATAGAGCCGCATACACTAGATTTCCCTGTGAAAATCCAGAATTTTTGGTTCTAAATTGTAAACTGTGAGGGTCCCAGATCCAACAGGAATTCCTTCAATGACTGTTCCTTTGACCACATAGCCCATTATATATACATTATTATATTCTGGAGCCAGCCAAAGCTATCTATTATGTACAATGCTTATGAATTTGATCATGGATGTAAGATAAGATGCTCAATAAACTGACTTAATTTATTCCTTTTTTGGGAAGATGTGCTTGATTAGTAATTTTTTCAGAAACAATTCTCAACATCTTGCACTAGCCCACAATGTTTTATTAATTGTAGTTTTTGAGCTTTGTGCAAAGTACAAGATATAAAGCGTGTTTTTAAATCTTGGGGTTACAAATTATTCAGAACTAATAGATGACCCAGTAGCACAAGTCTCAGATGACTTCAAAATATTCCAGTCTTATTTGAAGTGGTTGCATAGATTCCATTAGATGTTTTGCCTCATCCAGAAAGAAACCATTTAGTGAAACTTAGCTGTGCAAATCTGACCTGATGAATGAACCATCTTCCAGATTTAGTTGAGGCGGTTCAACAGGTCTTTTTGGAGATGAAATTGGTTTCAGAAAAAAAATATGTACAATTAAGTCAAAGCAAATAGTATCAGCCAACCCAGATGACTGAAATATGCTCAAAACTCATGTGATATTGTAACAGGATACGAAACAAGTTTCTTTACAAAGCAATTCAATGCCGCTTATGTAAGCCTCTTGCACAGACAACCTGAACAATGAGCCAAAAAGCTGAGTAGTTACTGAAACTTTATTTCCAGATGTCTCTGTACTGCAGTCTCAATCTTCACGCGGGGGACTGTACATGCCTCATATGCTGTACTTTGTCTGTGCAATGTTTTCTGATTCATTTAGTAAGTATGCTTGCTACATTTCTTTGTCACTCACAATGTATGCTCTCATTTGATAGAGTTTAAAAAGGCTGTGTTGATCTCTTTTGGGAATCACAATCATATGTGATCAAATCCAATTTATTCTGGAAAATCTGAGAAAATATTCTCAGACCACAGTTTTACTTGATAAATTCAATTAGATCCTCTTCTTAAAATGATTTTATCTGTGGCATTTCTTCTGGTTAGTCCTTTTTTTGTTTTTATTCTCATACCCTCAAGAAACTCAAAGCCAGTGGCCTTGTATCCTTTCGTAGCTTTTTCAAAATGTGTATCAATTTTCTGCTTCTGAAGGACCGGCACCTGAACTTGTGAATATTCCAAATAGAACAAGTGAGGCATCAAATAGTATTGATGGGCATGCAGAAAACTTGTTGCAAACCAGCCCGGTCATGCCTTCATTAGGACCAGGAGTGAGTAATCCCTCTTGGTCTAATCACAACTGCGGTTCTAATACACCTAATGCTTTGATTCAGGCAGGTTTGGCAGACCGGGGTTCTAGTGAAGTCTTAGGGGCTTCACACCATCAATCTCAACAATTGCAAGCCAACCATGAAGAAAATAGTGAGGATGATTTGGCGCGTGCACTGGAAGCTTCAAGGGAAGAATATGAGCGACATGAGCCAGATATATATCAGTCTCTCGAGGAAGCTCTGGTTAGAATCCGATCAATCACAGACATTCACGAGTCAAATGAAAGAAATAGCAAGGATGTTTTGGCGCATGTACTGGAAGCTTCAAAGGAAGAGTATGAGCAACGTGAGGCAGATATAGATCAGCCCCTTGAGGAAGCTCTGGTTAGATCACTCATGGATGAGTCACACGGAAACAATAGCGAGGACGATTTGGCTCGTGCACTAAAGGCTTCAAAGGAAGAGCATGAACAACGTGAGCCAGATATAGATCAGTTGCTTGAGGAAGCTCTTGCTAGATCACTCATGGACGAGTCACAAAGTAGCTCTCGAGAGTCAGATGCATTCCTTCTTGATGCACTCTCAGATGCCGAACTTGAGAAATTTCAAGAATCAACCAGGGGGAATCATTGTGGCCTTGGAATTGAGGAGCAGAATTTGGCACGTGTGCTTGAGATGTCAAAGAAGGAAGCTTTGGATCGTGAACTGGAAAATCCACTCAGTCAAGCTTTACAATTTTCACCCAAGGACAGAAATCAAGCAAGTACATCACATGATGCTTCCGGTCCCAACAAAACCTTGCATGTTGAATTTCTTGGGTCACCAGAGCCATCTGATACTGAGCGGCCGGTTGTCAGTCGTGTACTCAGGAGTCCAATGTCCGCAAAGGAGTATTTGGGTCGACAACAGAATCTGATGGATGAGCCACTGACTCGCCATACCTCCCCAAGTTCAGTTCTGGCTAATAAATCACCAGGTTCTGAATTCCAGGAAAATTATCATCCAAATGGCTACAGCGGTCAACCCGACAATCCGGATTGGAGACCTCGCTATGCAGAACGGTCAACCTCACAAGGAGGTCCTGGGAATTACATCCAAAAGACCTCTTTCAAAAAAAAATCTGTTGATTTCTTGTTATCAGTTCCTAAATTTGTTTGGGTCTTAGTTATTGCTCATTTGTTGTGGTATTACTTATCAAAAACTTGATGATGGCTGTGTGTTTTTGTGCTCCAAGGGAAAGATGAACCACTCTCTTTTTTCTTATTTCCTTCCATTCTTCACATTCAATAAACATTTGGATACTTACTGAAAGGAAACTTTCCATGTTCATTTTTCTGAAGAAGTTATGAAATACTCAAATACAAATAGCAACCACCTCAGAACTCTCTTGGCTCCTTTTTCCAGCTGCCTATCTGTTTCCCCTGCGATGCTCAAGATTAACTCATAGATTTTTTTTAAACAATATGCTCACTACATTGAAAGATTTTTGCTAGATTTCTCTGTCCTTGAATTTCATCTCCCCTCCTTCCTTGCATAAATGTGTGGAAATAGTTTTTGCCCCCAATTTTGGGGAGTTTGACTTGGTGAACTTGTCTTTTCCCCAAATGTTGGTGGGTTTTACTCAATGCTCTTTTGCCCCTTTTGGGGGTGTTGCTTAAATTGGGCACCTATCTTGGCCTAACATTTGTGTCAACAGTTGTGGATTAGAGTTTGACAATGTTGTTAGATTGCATGACACTTTGTTTGGCTCTCTGAGCCCCCTTTTTTTTAGCTATATGTAGATATGTGTTGATAACTTTTGATGTTAGCTACTGAGAAATGTGAACATGTCATCATACTGCTTATGATAAACTTACAAGCAGTTTATTTTATTTGGCAAAGGGATTGTTTTGGATTTTCTGTCGGCGATCATGAAAGAATCAATTCCACCTGATGGCCAGTTATGTAGTTAGATTGAATGAAGGAGGTTTTCATTTCTGAAATTTATGGATTGGATTTAGTGCACAGCTTATATTGGCCCTGCACTAACTCTATCCAAATGGCACTTTTTTGCCAAATAACTTTATGCATGAGCTTTCAGATTAACCTGAAATCCTTATACCTCTATAAGGTCAAACTCAGATTCCTAAAAGTAGGGTTATAATCATTTTTGAACACAACAACCAAACTTGGCTGGGTGGCTCTTGTCTATAGCTTACCAGACAGTTTGATTTTTTTGGTCAATTGACAGTAAGACATGGTTACCCAAATGCAACCTACCTTGGTCTTGCGTATACAAGTTTGTGATATCATCTCAAAAACCACAGAGGGACGTATTTTGTGGACAGGTGGATCACACAACCTTTGGTGGATTCTTGTTTCAAACTTTCAAACTCTGCTTATATATGTAGCTGGCTACAGCGCCTGTTTCTACATCTCAAAAAGAGTATTGTCTCCTTCGTCAAATGTGTCTTATTATAGGTCAGTTATCTGATGTCTGTATTTTATGGACCGGCCGGACACATGAGCTTCCGCTGATTGCAGCCTTTGCCGAAACTGAGCTCCCCTTCCTGTAGGCTGTGAGGGTGTCCACAGGCTATTTTGCCACAACGAAGCAACCCTACGTCAATTACCCGGATCACAAACCAATACGTATGACTTGCGTTAGTAATTTCAGTGTCGAGTTTCCTGTGACCCGTCTCGAATGACAGTTCCCGATCATTGCTTGTTTTAATGTACGGAGTTTCATCAAATGTGGAGTATCTTAAAGGTGCGGCTGGTCTGGTCCTTGACAGAACCGCATACATAAGATCCCTGAAAGGCTCTGTCTTCATCGCTTCGCGGAGCTTGCATTGTTCTCTTGCCAGTCCAGCTTTTCCAGGTGTTAGATACAAGCCCAAGGAGCTAATTGGAAAATTGAGTTCTTACACCACACTTCGGTACTCATCAGATCGACTTTGCCAAATCCCTGTATGTTCTTGCAGGAATGTTGCGCATATATTTAGCATTGCTCCTGGTTAGAAATTTTCTTTGCGGGGGCAGCGTGATCCCATGAAATGCTTTATGAAGCTGATGGCTCTGCAATTCTTCTCCATGGAAAGTGGTTTCAGGTAGTGCGTCGATCGTCTGCAGCCGAATCTAGTGCTGGTGAAGTCGTCTTGCATGGAATTGATGAAGGACTTCGTATGGCAGGGGAAGATGTGGCGTCTCATAAGTCTTTACGGGGCAAATTCAAGTGGAAAAAGATCATAAATTTCAGAAAGAAAAAAGTGAGTTATCCTGTTGACTTTGAGTGTGCATCGACCAGGAATAGCGTTGTCGATTGAAGTTCTTGGATAAATTTCTACTAAGCGCCCTGCCGGTCACCCGGAGCTGAATTCGAATTCCATTCTGGAGCGGGAGCCAGAGCCGGAGCTTGTAACGAACCCGTCTGACGACCCGGTTGAAGACTATCCGGCGACACAACGTGCGCACCATGCCCGACAATCACCGTCGGAAAATGGGGCCAACACATCGCCGCCCATCTCTCCCTCTCCCCCGCCTCCGCCTCGACCGGCGGCTCCAGCTTCCCACCCGCCTCCACTCCGTCCGCCGCCACCCTGCCCGGGTCAGCAGCCTGCTCACGAGCCATCCAGCCCATCGAGAACTGGCAGCTTGTCTCAAGAAACGAAAGAGGATTATAGTCAAGGTTTTAGTGGCTTCCTAGAGCATGCAGTTCCCTCATCACACCCAAATGCAAGTGTCGATACTCAGGAACTAGAAATCCAAGCTGCAATTTTGGAATCCTTGAAAACCAGTCAGACTTTACCTTCCCGGCAAATCCATTCCCAGCAGTCAACATCAGCAAATGAGGCTATCCCTTTACCGCCCATGTCTCCGCCTCCGTCCGGACCTCCTCATTCCCATTCTCCTCCGCACCACTCGCCTCCACCCAGCCCGGTGCTAATTCATGCAACAAGAGAAGAAGAAGAAAGAACGGAAGACGATTTTCAAGCAACCAGAGGCTCTCTTCTTCACTCAGAGCATCTTGCATGTCCTTCAGACGGCCCTGTCCAGGATGCTTTCGCAGACTACAGGTCGCATCAGACTTTTACAGACTATCCGCAAGGGCATACTAGAAACACTCCAGCCCATTCAATCAACAGCTACCATGAAAACCTAAGTGGGGATCAAGCTCTCTTACATCCACTAGCTTATGTGGCTAGACAAGATGATTCCAAATTTCCATGGGACACATTGATCATAGGCTTTTCTATTCTCTTTGCGTGTTGGATGAAAGGATTTTTCAGTGGGTCCGGTGCGGATTAGATACAGCTCAGGAGTATCTGCGACTCAGATCTATCTCACCGCGTTATCTTGATGTCGCAAGCTACACCGTTATTTCCACATCCTTTTTGTTCAAAATTCCATAGAGCAACGGTGAAACCAATATTAGCTGAGTATTGATATTGGGTGGTATGCCTATG